CCCGCTGGCGCTCCACCTAAACCTTAACCTCTTCGGGTTTAGGGTTCTTTGAACCCTCAGGCCTGGCCCAACGACTTCTCTCCCTCAGTTCTCGGCTTGCCCGGACATGGTGCTGCGGAGGGGATAGCCTTGGCGGCGGTCTACGGCGGAAGGGCGGCGCAAGCGAGAGGGAGCGAGCGAAGCGCCGGTCGTCCGCCCGTCGCGAGCGCGTGTCTTGGAGTCTGCAAGGGCAAAAGTATCAGTCAAAGGCTTGGCTTTGGGATTAAAAGGCAAGGTTGGAAACAACGTCGTCAAGCCCAGCGAGCGTTCCAAGGTTTGGCAATGGGCGAGCGCGATCCTGGGGCTCTGCAATGGACGAGTTTCAGTCAAAGGTTTGGCTTCGGGATGACCGTGGGGTCTACCCGAGGATTTGCCACGAAACGCGCCGGTCGCCATTGAAATTTGCTCAGCGGAGGGTAAGCCCAAGGCACAAAGGCAAAATGGTTCACGGCGACCCTTTTCACAAGCGACGGCCTCGCGCATTGAAAGTTCGGGAGGCTTAATTCTTCCCTGGCTCCTTTGTGCTTCTTTCCTTTTTGCGCGAGGCACCAGGGAGGCAGGAAAGGACTCATTGGACAGCTTGCGAGGTACCAAGGAGGCAGGAAAGGATCAATTGGACAGCCTGCGAGGCACTAGGGAGGTAGGAAAGAGCCAATTGGACAGCCTGGGAGGCACCAAGGAGGTAGGAAAGGATCAATTGGACAGCCCGCGAGGCACCAGGGAGGCAGGAAAGAACAATGCGCGCCGCGTGGGAAGCATCGGGGAGGCACCAGGGAGACTCGTCGCACAAGCTTGCCGATCGAATCCCGGTTTTGGAGGGACGTCGGATTTTGTATAACTGTTAATACAATTTCAATGGCGAACGGCCCGATTCGCGGCAAATCTTGGGGTGGATGGAGGCCTCCACAGTTGGCTGCCCGTAGCACAGACTGGCCTCTCGGAACATAGGATTGCTTTTGACAGGGAGGCACCGAGGCACTAGAGAGGCAGGAAAGGATCCATCGGACAGCCTGCGAGGCACCAGGGAGGCAGGAAAGAACCATCTGCGTCGCCTGGGAGGCACAAGGGAAAGTTTTAGCTAAGCAGTCTGTTCGAGGGACGCTCCAAGCCCGTCCTAGGGTTAAGGGTTATTTATTCTAGGGCAAGCTGTCGCTTGCTAGCGCACTGTCGTGCCCGCGGGGCTGAGCGTCCGGGGTACTTTCGTTGCACTCGACCGCTTGCTCCGGCACCGCCTTGCCCTGACTCGGGGCTTCGGCACGCTCGGGCGCCCGTATCGGACGGCGCCCTCGCTTCAGTTTAGGGTATCGATGGTTAAGCGCGCATGTGCGTTCACAGGGGGGGGGGGGGGGTATCTAACCTCCTTTCACGCCCCCCCCCCCCTCACCATTTACACACGCGTCCGCGGACAAATCCCACCCCCCGCTGGCGCTCCACCCAAACCTTAACCTTTTCGGGTTTAGGGTTCTTTGAACCCTCAGGCCTGGCCCAGCAACTTTTCTTCTCGTTGTCGGATCTGGGCGATGCCTGGATGCATTGAAAAGATATAGGGCGGAGGGGCGATGCCTGGATGCATTGAAGAGATATAGGGCGGAGGGGCGGCGCGAGCGAGAGCAAGAAAGCGAAGCGCCAAACCTCCGCCCGAAACAAAGATGCAGTCGAGGCACGCCAATACCAGGGCTGTTGGAGAGGAAGGCGCGCGCATCGCAACGTGGACGGGCGAGCTGCGCCTGCAAGGTGGTGCATGGAGGACGGGGCATGAAACGAAACGTATGTCGAAACGAGCGTAGGCCACGGGCTTTTTCTTTTGCGTTCGTCGTGTTGTCGTGGCGACCGGGTCGCTTGAAACGAGGAGCGCGCGCGCTCCGGACAAAAGTTGAAAGGTAAAACAAATTCATTCATGGTGGACCGGTATCGCTTAGCACGGGCACGAGCGAGGGACCGGCCAAACATACGAAATGGATCGTAGTAATCACCGATCGATTTCGACCGGGCGCCTTCGCCGGCGAAGCACGAACCAATTAATAGCCTCAGGACTCGTCGACCGGTTGAAAGTGCGCGGCGGTCACCACACCACCGACCAGCACGTCCTTGCCAAAGCTGACTCGGTTGAGGGCGGTGTAGGCCGCCCCAGGGACCCCCGGGCAATCCAAGAAGGCCGTGACGTGATTCAGCTCTGCGCCCTGGTATTTGATGATGGTGTCGGCATACCCCGCCTTTAAGGGATAGTAGCTGAGGTTGCCGAGCTCGGGGTCGGTCTAGGGCCACACCATGACCCGGTGTCCCGTGGCTGTCAACACTTCCACGGCCTTGGTGCGACCCTCATAGCCTTGCACCACGCAGGCCATGCCGTTTACGAAGTCGACGTCTTTGCGGACATTGTGCGTGAAGATCGCTCGCATTCCCTTGAAGATGGGCAGGCGGAGCGGGCGCAAGGCGCGCAGGTCTTCTAGCAGGGCTCCGTCGTCGTAATTCTCGGGATTGGAAGCCACATCTCCATCCAGGACCGCGAGCGGAGGGAAGCGCGGAAACAGCTGGAGGGCGAGCTCGTTGATGGTCTGCGCCCCCTTCCGTGTGCAGGTCAAGATCACCGTATCGGGATGGGATTTGAGCAGCTTCTGCACGGCCGCAACATCCAACTTGTGGGGAGGCGTCCAGGCCTTGCGCTTCTGGAACTACTTGAGGGTCTTTGCACCGGGGCGGTTGGTTCGCAGCTCCTGTAGGATCGTGTTGAACTCCGGATCCTTGCAGCGGTAGACCTCATGGAGCTTCACGCGGAAAATCGCGCGCTTCCACTAGGGGCTGTGCCAGACCCGGCGGTCGCCGAAGCCGCACATCTGAAGCTCGTCACCCACCAGGAGGATCACCGGGAAATTGTCGGCTTGGGCCCACAGCTTGCAGACGTGCTCGAAGTGATGGGCCTGCATCTGCGAGATTTCGTCGATGATGACCAAGGCGTACTGCGCCAAGCCGACCGCCGCCGCCCCGGGCTTTTCGTCCAGACCAAAGGCAGCGTGGTAGGTGTCGATGACCACCTCCGGCGGAAGCTTGGCTCGCATGCGGCTGGCTTGCCGGTTCGTGGGATAAGCAAAGAGCACGCTACCCCCGAGCTCTAGCACCGAGCTCTAGCACCCGCTGCAAACACGCCAAGGCCACGGTGGTCTTGCCCGTGCCTGGCCCTCCAGTGCAAGCAAAGATCTTGCCGTTCCGGTAGGCGTCCTCCACCCACGGCTCGGCCGCCTCCTCGTGCTCCGCGGCCTTGGCCGCCATGTAGCGATCCACTGCCTCGTCTACCCGACCCTGGAGGTGCCGCTGCTGCCGATTGAACCGATGGTCCGCCGGCCCGGCGGCAACGGCGGCCGGTTGGTTGGCCTCTCGCCCGGCTTCCTCCGCGGCGGCGTCGGCCGCACCGGACAAGTACTTGTGCACCAGTGTGCGATGAGCGGCCACCATGCCCAGCAATGTCTTCATAAAGGACTTTGTGGTTGCCTCCAGGCGCAACTCCGCCTCAAAGCGCTCCGGGTCGCTCCACATCTCCCTGGCGACCGGGTGCTCGCAGAGGACGGCCATCGCGAAGTTGTGGTGTTCCCTGGGGATCAAGGCCAACTTGTCTGCGATGGGCTCGTAGAAGTCCTCCACCCGGCGGAAGGGGACGTGTAGTAGCAGCCACTGGCCGAAGAAATTGTCATTGAACTTGCTCAGGGTGTCTGCAGCCACGATCTGCTGCCCATGCACCATGAAGTGGGTGGCGAAGGACTCCAAGGTCTCTGCGCTGCCGCTGGCGGCGTGAAGCTTCTTGAGCCATGCCGCAATTTGCCCACTGCGGTTCGTCTTGCGAAGAAAGTCCAGCAAGGAGATGTGGCCGGCGGCCTAAGGCGCGGACATGTATTGCTCGACCTCCGCCGGCTGCCTAGGCTTGTCGGACCACGGCACCTCGAAGTCTCGCTTGCCACGGCCCTCGGTGCTGACAAACCATTGCCGGAAGCGAGCTCTGGCTCGCAGGGCCGATACCGGCAGAGGACTGTGGCAGCGATGGCATTGCCCTGGGCGGAGTCGTTGAGCCATTCGTCCTGACTTGAATCACTGAACTTGCTCACGTATTTGGCCACGTAGGACCGAAGCACCCCATCATCGTCAGCCACTTGCAAGTCTTGGTGACAGCGCAAGGCCTCCATGACAGGAAGGAAGTAGGGTCGAAGCCCCTTGGCCTTGTTATCCCGGTTGCGATGAAGCAAGAGAGTGTCTGTGGCCGAGTCCCACTGGCTGCTTTCCATGTGAAGTGGCCATCCGCTGCGACCTGCCCGGTCCAGCTGCGAGCCCTCCACGATGCCCGGCAAGGGATCGTTCTCGTCCAAGGGCTCTGGGAGCGTGGCGAAGACGGACTCCTCGAGCTTCATGCTGCGGAGCGCTTCTTTGGGCGCAAACACGAGGACATGGACATGGGGGCGGCCCGAGCCGTGATAGTCCTGCGTGGGCGCCTTCCTGGTGCCATCCTGAAACTCGATCCGCAAGAACACATGCACCGATTGCGGCCGCCCATCGGAGTCCAAGGCGTGGAGGAGGTGGCTGCGCCACGGATCTTTGGACTTGTTGCCCGTTTGGCCGGCCAAGGCACCTACGCGCGGACACGACCAGGGCCCGAAAGAACGAACGACGAACGGAACGGGCCGAGAATCGCATGCGGTCAGGGGTCAGAGACGCCGGCGAACGAAGACGTCGACACGCGACCGCGCCTCGCACCACTTGCAAGAGCACGTGGGTAATGTGCAGGCTCTCCGGCACGGCCAAGTGCAAGCGGCCGCGCAGCTCTTTGGACATCTCGTCCAAAATCCAAGGCGGATATGGAAAGGACCACTCGTAGGGCGACAGCGTCCAGAAGAGCTTCGGGTAGTCCAGCTGCCGAACCAAATCGATCAGGCCCCAGTGGACAGCTTTCCAATAGAGGGGTGAGAAGGAGTGACCCTTCATGAGAACCCGCATTGGAATGTCGTAGTCGAGGCTTGTGCGTTTCTTCGCCCCCAGGGCAGACCACAAGAACAGATCGTAAGCGAAATGGAGGACGTCGTAGCTGGAGCCGTACCCAATGCGGGCGCTCAAGGCGAGCGCCGCATAGGCTCGCTTGATGCTGTGCCGTTGCCCGTCGTCGCCCGCCTCCTCGGCATCTTCGTTCTCGGAGGCGACGTTGCCGTGCACGAAGTCCTCCATCGTCGGCCCCGCTGCGCGGCCGAGCCGCCGAGCGTCCGTGCTGCGGACCACGGTCAAGCAGAGCGAGTCCTGGTAGAAGAGGTGAGGCCAGACGGCAGTTTCCAACCCTGGGGTTTCGATGTAGGCTAGGCGGCGGCGCCGAGAGCACGCGTCCGCAGTGGGATGCTTGCCCAAGAACTTCTTGTGCTCGGTCTCAAACTTGCGATAGGAGCAACCGTCCGCGTCGAGGAGGAAGCGCCGGGCGGCCAACGCTTTGGTCCGCTGCTCCTCGTCGACGAGGTCCTTGATGCGATCCTTGCTCGACCGGCTGTGCCAGAAGAACCGAGCCATGGTGGCGTGCTGCCGCCGGTAGCCGCTGTTGTGGGCGGCGCGGATCTCAGGGCCCACATCAATCTCCAGAAGGGCCAAGGCTTGGATGCTATCAGGAGCTAGGCCCCGAAGAGCTTCGGGAACATCCTCGGGCACGGGAGCGTTGCAACGAACCTTGGCCTGACAGCGGCTGCATTCGCTCAGCGTTGCCCAGGGTGAAGGTCGAGAGTTGGACATCCGCGAGGGCGTCAGAGGCATGGGCACCATCGAAGAACACACCCGGCACATGCCCCACGAAGTGTTGCAACACCAGTTGTAAATGTCCAAGGCCAACTTGCTCCGCTTGGGTGGGGGGAGCGCAGTATCATTGGTAACCTCTTCTCCTCGAACGGCTCGGCCCGCCAACCCGAAGCGTCGACGGGCCCGGGCCCGGTCGTCCAGCACCTCTTGCCGATACTTTTTCTTGGCGCTCGCGGAGGCCGGAGCTGTGTGCGACGAGCGCTTGCCCACGACATGTGCCCAGGTGTCAGCAGCCGCAGCGGGGCGCTTGCGAGATGCCCGCTGCAAGCCTCGCCCCGGAGCGCCGGCCAAGGCAAGACGAAAGTAGGCGCGGTGTTCTTCGCCCAGCCTCTCTTCCACAGCCTTTTCCCGGGAAGCCGCCGCCATGCGGCGAAGCCACGGCAGCAGCTTGTCACGGCCGGCGGCGGTGGCGCACGCCGCTGTCAGCGCCTCTGCGTCGCAGAAGGTGCACCGGGCTTGCTTGCCCTTCAATTGCACAGGCCGCCCAGCGTCGGCCTCGGCAAAGACGCAAGCCTCGCCGACAACGCCAGGGCAGTAGTCCGCTCGTGCAACCATGGCCTCGAAGGCAGCACGGAATCCCGCGGGCACCCTGCGAAGGGCTCGTTGCTGCTGCTCCGCGCCCATGGCCTTGAGTGCCTTGCTCAGATTCGCCCGTCCGGGCTTGGTGTCAACGGCCTTGGCCATGCGATCTGCACTGCACCACACGCAGCGTGTGTACCCGCCGCCGGTCTGCAAGGCTCCACCATGGAGGCCGAAGGCGCATGCCAGCCCGTCGATGCCCGCGCACTTGGTCGGCATGGCGCGGGTGGTCTCTAAGGCCACGGGTCGAAAGCTTCGAGCACAAACATGCTAAAAACACGAATCAGAAGCTAAGATTGCCAAGAAAGGCGAAACGCGCGCGCAGGTCAGTTCCCGGACGAGCGAAGACGCGCCCAAAGACGACATGGCCGATCGCGAGCGGGCAGCGTGGCGGACGCGGCGCGAGAGCGGCGCCTTCTTTTCGGAGCCGTCATCGGCATCGAGGGCCGCGCAGCCAGCGACGAGGAGACGGCGTCTGCCAGCAGCGGGCCACACGCCGTAGCCGCAAGCCGCCAAAGCCAACCGCATACCTGAAGCAAGCAACGGTGTGCAATTTTTGTCCTCCGTTCGTCCGTCAGTTTGCCTGTCTCTGTCTATGTGTCTGTCTGTTAGTCTGTCTGTCCGTTTGTCAGTCTGTTTGTCTCTCGGCTTCGGTCTGTCTCTGTCTGTCTGCTCGTCTGTCGGTCTCTCTGTGTGTTTTGCCGGTTGCCCCTCGCGGGCCCCATTCCCAAGCCCTGGCTGAGCCAGACCAAGTCCAACTCCCAGGAGTGCATGCCAGGCATCCTTCGGGCGGGTGGGTGGAGCAGGAGAAGTATGGCACCGGTATCGACCTGTGAACCTATGTTTCTGGCGGCCCGCCTGGCGAGGAGCAAGCGCCAGCCCTAAAGTCTTAGGAGGCTCGCTGGGTCACCGGCCGCCCGGGGAGGGCGACAGGCGCGCCCGGGCGCTACTGCCTAACCTTAAGGTTTTGAAAAAACGCGCCCGGAGAAAAGCGACCGGACATGACCGCCAAAAGGCACCCAGAGACTGGATTCGGAGGGTGCCGGCTGGGCGTCCGGAGGCCGCCGGCGGCCAGTTTTAGTAAAGAATGTAATCGTCGTAGATTGTCTCCGGCCGGTCTCCGGTCCAGTCTCCGGCCGGTCTCCGGTCCGGGTCTCCGGTCCTCTCCGGTTCTCCGGCCCGGGTGCCGGAGAATTTCTCCGGCCGGTCTCCGGTCCAGTCTCCGGCCGGTCTCCGGTCCTCCGGTCCCGGGCGCGGGCGGGACCGGAGACCCGTTTTCTCCGGCCCCGGACGCGGGCAGGACCGGAGACCCGTTTTCTCCGGCCCCGGGCGCGAGCAGGACCGGAGACCCGTTTTCTCCGGCCCCGGGCGCGGGCAATCCTGTGCTACGAGGGCGCTTTTAAAGGCAATCCTGTGCTACGAGAGGGCGCTTTTAAAGGCAATCCTGTGCTACGAGAAGGCTTTGAAAGGCAGTCCTGTGCTACGAGGGCGCTTTTAAAGGCAATCCTGTGCTACGAGAGGGCGCTTTGAAAGGCCCTCCTGTGCTACGAGGAAAAGCAATCCTGTGCCACGAGGAGGGCTTGAAAAGCTGTGCTGTGAGAGGGCTGTCAAAGGCAATCCAGTGCTACGAGAGGTGTGCTACGAGAAGGCCAAGGCTTTTAAAGGCAATTCTGTGCTACGAGAGGGCCTTTAAAGGTAATTGTGTGCTACGAGAGGGCTGTTAAACGCAATCCTGTGCTACGAGAGGATGCTCCACATCCGTCCTGGGGTTAGGGGTTACTCATTCTAGGGCAAGCTGCCGCTTGCCAGGGCACTGCCGTGCCCGCGGGTGCCTTCGCTGCGCTCGACCGCTTGCTCCGGCACCGCCTTGCCCTGAATCGGGGCTGCGGCACGCTCGGGCGCCCGTATCGGACGGCGCCCTCGCTTCAGTTTAGGGTTTTGCATCTTCGAGTGGGCTCGCTTCGCTCGCCCTCATGAATTGTCTTCTCCCACCCCCGCTTGCGCTCCTCCCACGTCTCAACCTTTTCGGGTTTAGGGTTCATTCGAACCCTTGGCGGGGGCCCGGCGCAATTTCTATTTTTCGAAGATAAATTCCACGAGCTCGCGCCGCGAAGTTCGAGAGGCGAGCGGAAGGTCGGAACGAGCGAGAGATCGAGCGAAGTTCCGGCCGAACGCGAAGTTAGAGGGTATCTCGCTACTTGCGCAACGTGGGGGCATATTGACGCCGACGCGGGCCCCTGACGAGAGGGTTTAGGGCAAGAGTCCACGGAGAAACCGGCCCGCAAAAGATCGTTGTTTAACCGGAGACAGCCGGCGGTGTAGGTGCCAACCAGCCGGTGGGTTCAGATGCCAAGCAAGCCTTTATTAAGCGAATTGCTCGACCACCGTGGGGCGACCCTGGGATTTGCAATGAAACGTGCGTGCTCAGCGCCGCCAATTGCGCCACCAGGGAGCCACCAGGGAGGCAGGAAAGGCCCATTTGGACAGTCTGCGAGGCACCAGGCAGGCAGGAAAGGATTAATTGGACAGCCTGCGACGCACCAGGGAGCAGAGGCACCAGGGAGGCAGGAAAGGACCATTTGGACCACCTGGGAGGGACTAGGGAGGCAGGAAAGGACCAATTGGACAGCCCGGGAGGCACCAGGGAGGGAGGAAAGGACTAGTTGGACAGCTTGGGAGGCACCAGGGAGGCAGGAA